AATATCAAACGAGTAGGTTTTACATGCAATTAATTGTTGGCTCTTCCATGGTGGAGGAAGGCTCCTTTATTTTTTGTTTAAAGGGGTCTGAACTACTCGTGAGCACGAGTTTTGTGGATGTCTCTAATGAGTTTTTAATTATATCTTGCATTGTATTCAGTTAAAATATTTATGGAGAATGTTTCATTACGAAAATATTTGGACTTCCAGCTCAATGTGTTTTAAGTTTCACAACATTGACTTGTTTGAGGCATTATGATTATCTCGTGAATTACGCAGTGATTTAAAATACCATTGGGACATTTATTTTTCTTTAATGATCTCTGAACATAATTTTTTTAAAGCTGGATTACTAGCAACTAATCCATGGTCCTATCTGAGTTAGATTTGTTTGAAGATTCTTGTAGGGGTGTTTGATGAAAAGTCAAAGCTTTATGTCTTTTGTATTGTGTAAGCTATGAATTAAAATAGGATAGTCCTAACTCCTAATCACCATGGATTGGCCTCATGATCCTTCGAGTCAATGAAAAAAAGTAAAAGGGTTAGAAGGAATAAGTTCAAATCATTGTGACCATTTATCTAAGATTTAATATCCTACAAGTTTCTTTAGCAACCAAATGTAATAAGGTCAAGGGGTTGTCTCGTAAAATTAACATGTTACAATCAAATATGGCTTAGATTCAAAGGGATATTTAGTGGACGAAGATGGATTTGACTACACGAAGATATCCTTTTTGAGAGATATCAAGGCTCAGCAGAGAAGTTTAAGGTGTGATCTCATCTTACCACTTTCGTAGTTGACTTCCAACACTTTTTTTTGTCATTTTTGATAACTAACATTTCTCATGCTGTGCAATGTGGTATTCTTAGGGACTATTCAAAGACTTATGCTCGATCTAAATATTATGACGAAGCTAAACCTTGGAATGAAAGGTGTGATGTTGCGTTTCCTTGTGCTTACCATAATGAAATTGATCAAGCTGATGCCATAAATCTGATTAATTCTGGCTGCCGTATTCTAATAGAAGGTAGTAAACACAGTTTTTGTTTTTACTTCCATATCTCCCTATAATATATTTGTTTTTCGTGCTTACTGATGGTCGTGCTTTTTCCCCACTAGGTTCAAATATGCCATGTACTCCTGAGGCCGTTGATGTGCTAAGAAAAGCTAATATTCTCATTGCTCCTGCAATGGCTGCAGGTGCTGGAGGGGTGCGATTCACTTCATCCACTCTGTCATGATGCATGTGCAACAAATGTCTAAAAAGGAAATTAAGAATAAATCCGGGTTGCATTTTTTTTTTCCAGCCAAAATTGGGATAGTAGTTAAAGTAGGAAAAATCCTTCGATTGATGTGGTTTTTTGTTTCAAATATACTTCAGGAATGCTTGGATCAGCTCACTGCTATGTCGGTTCCCTGTGAAATAGGAGAACTTCTAGGAACTCTTAATAGTAAAGCCATTGATCCCTAGAAAAATTAAACCATGATCGGAATTTGGTGGCACTTGATAATAAGCTCTCATACTTGCGTTACATCGTTGAAATTACAGAATGCTCTTAAAACTTTTATAGGCAGCCAGTTACTGCATGGTTCTTGAGAAGGTTTTGGTCTTAAGCACAAACTGTGGAGTTTAACAGTTCACCCTCTACTGTTATAAGCATTACTTCACTGACTTCAAAATTATGTTGCCTTGTTGAAATGAATATCATCACCAAATATTTAGAACTATAAAAATATGTGTAGAAAGAATCTATAGTTCATAGTATGAAGAACTTGAATTAACTTGATTCAACTCTTTGCATGGTATGAATCCTCCAAAAATTCTAGTGTTAAATTTAGTTGCAACGTGTAGGACATTTGATTCACAAGTTTAAGGTGAATGAATCTGTCAGGCGGCTCTGCTCTGGATCTTTTCGTTTTTATCACTTATTAAAAATGTAAGGCTTATCTGGTTGTTGTTGCTTCCTTGTTGCAGGTTGTTGCTGGAGAACTTGAATTAAACCATGCATGTAATTTGATGCATTGGTCCCCAGAGGACTTCGAATCTAAATTGCAGGTGAGAGTCTATCTTTTATCCTGCCCTCTAGTGAGATTATTCAATTAAGGGAAATAGTTCTGGATTTCTTACTTGCTAGGATCAATTAATCAATACCGTGGATGTTAACTTCTATTTGCAGTTGTCAAACCCTCAAAATACTTTCACTTGCTAACTACCCATGAGTGAGGAGAACAATTACTGAATCTCTTTACTCAATATGATTACTCTAAACTGTAGACGTTAATTTTAAGAACTATAAGAACTCTTGATCTGACTTTTTCTGCTAAATGGATTCTGCGTGAGCTAAAATGTTCTATGCTTGGTCATTTAGAACTTGAATTGAATTTATCAATTTTGCAAAGAAAAAAAAGGAGATTATTTGTTCACAACGTTGGTTGCCTGCTGACTTGAAAGTTAACATTGCTAACCACATGGAGATTATCATCCCCTTTTCATGCTCAAGCTCGTAATTAAATTTCTTATTTACTTTACTCGTGGTTTGTTTAAATCGTTTTTATGGTTTTTCCATCTTCATTTTAACTTGCAGGAAGCTATGAGACAGACTTACCAGAGGGCCCTCAAAGCAGCAGCTGATTTTGGTTACCAAAAAGAGAGTCCCGAGTGAGTTCTACTCCACTTTGCCTCCATTATGTGGTTACTAAAATTTTCGCTTACAATTGTTGGTTTGATCGAGAGTGAAGACGGTTAAAAGAAAGAAAAAGAAAAGAAACGAACCCAATAACCTCATTTGCCATTTTGCACTTAGTTCTTTACTTTTCAGCCCTTAGTTTTAACTTGGTTTTTCCAAGCTGGAAAAAACAAAAATATTGAGATGGTGGTCTTTTTTTTTAATTCCTTCTCAAGACTCGTGCACTCTTCGTCTGCTTGATAGGGCTCTAGTTCATGGAGCAGTCATTTCTGCTTTCCTGAGTGTTGCTCAAGCCATGACTGATCAAGGTTGTGTATAATAAACAATGAGCACAGTACGAGAGGTTGCAAAAGTTGCTTTCTTCTCTTGTGCCAAATATCAAGATTTCTTGCAAAAACGCACTCGTTGGCATGCCGTGTATCGTACCGCTGTGGACTACGAGATCAGGTAGGTTAAACTGATGCCCAGAAACCAAAATATACGACACCGGTGTCTGGGCCATATATACACGATGCCATACCTGGGATCTCAAAAGGCTCAAAATGTTGAAATCAGGAGATCAAACTTGTTGTAAAGTATTGGCTACTGCTGCTTAGGATAGAAAAGGGCCTCAGGATTTCTGAACAGGAATGTGTGATTTATTTGGCCATTTATAATACTGCCGATAGATGTGGTTGTTACTATCTTGTAATACATAGAGATTGGAAATAAAAATTTGTTCATCTTACCATTGATTTTGTGCCTTCATCAAGCTGTTGCTCTGTTCCTCTGTTCTAAGCTTTCTGTTCCTCATAATCATAAAGAAAAAACAAAGGGGGTTGTTTGGGAAGAAACTTTGGGAAATGAGCAACATCATTTACCCCTGCAAAAGTCAACAAACCTATGCTAAGGTCAAATTGAGATCTTGTTTAGTTTTTGAAAGCTAAAAAGATCTAGTTTGAAATTTTACATGGTTAAGTTTCTCAGAGTTGTGTAATATTTTGCAGTATTTTGGCTTTGGTTCATCTTGGTTATTTTTCTTTCGGAATGTCTTTTTGATTCATATAGTTTCAACTTTAGTTTATTTTAGTCCCTGTACTTTTTAAACGTCTATTAACTTTTTAAGAGAAACATATTTAATAATGTTTTTGTTTTTAGTTTCGCAATTAATATGTTTTGGTTGATTATATGTTTAATATAACAGTAGATTTATGATACTGAACATGCTAAATGAAAGTGCATTGAGGCATACATAAAAGCAGTGGAGGATGGGCTTTTTCTAGTATAGATTACCATTCGAGTTTTGAATGCGTTGATTTAATCTTTAATATTAGTTATTGTATGAAACCATATAATATATCGAGGTATTATAAAATTGATTTCTTCCTGGTTTAACTTCACATACAAGAATCACACACTTTGGTAGTAAAATGGTTATATCTTTGGAAATGACATAAGAATGGCAAAGTAACATCCTTGAGTAGAGGTGTAACTTGGTTCAAACTAAATGTGGTATCGTTATTTATTATTATTATTAATTTTTTTTTCAAAAAGAGTTTTCTAATTCAAATTGATTTCTATAAATCCTCATTATTTTGTTTCAACATTTCCATAAGTAAATTATTCGTATTTTTACATATGACGGTTAAAAGTGATCAATTTAGCTTAATTAAGCTACAATTAAAATTTTATTTACTAATTCAAATAATTTCCATTGATTTTCACAATTTTCATATTTTTTTTTCAAAATATCCATCGATATTTCCGTAAATTCGAGACCTCGACATTTTTCATCGACATCGACATTTCAAACCTTGATTCTTAGATTGTTTTTGCATCTAAAGTCTTTCATAAAACTTAAAAAAGAAAAAAAAAGAAACGTGGGTACATCATACATGTCGCCTCTTGACCTCCGACTTTTGTTGGACAAGGTCGAGCAACCTCCGGTCGGGTAATTAAAAGTGAAATATTTTAAAAAATAGTTTACAAATATGTATATTTAAACAATTAGTTATATTTTTTGTAATATTAAAAAATCCTCATATTCTTTTGTACTAAAAAAGAAAAAAAAATAAGAATTTTAATACTTCTAGTATTAAAAAATATTTTAAAATAAATTGAAATTCCATAATGACCCACTGAAAATTAATTCTTATACATTTTTCGACACCAATATTATAGGTCAGACAATTAGCCCGTGAGATTAGTTGAGATGTTCACACGCTAACACTCACAAATATAAAAACAAAAAAAATAAATAAAATAAACAAAAAAACAAAAAAAAATTAATAAGGAATTAAAATACCATGCCCTAAACCTAAGCCCATCGAAGGGGGAGAGAGTCGTGTTCTGAATTAGGGTTTAGTATAAAAACCAAGTAACTCCCTCCTATTTTTTGCACGCCCCATTTTGCCCATCTGAGACAAAACCCTAGCGCGAACCAGGTCTCTGGACTTCTCTCAACGATTTCGTCTCAATTTTTTTCATGTGTTCTCGAAGATGTATGCTTATTTATTATGTTTTGCTCAAGCTAGACTAACTTCGAATGTTGTTGGATCCTTCGCATCGTGTTGCAGGGCGAGAAGAAGAACATGGCGGCGGTTTCGGGACAACTGATTTGGGAGATTGTGAAGAGGAACAACTCGTTTTTGGTGAAGGAGTTCGGCAGGGGAACAGCCGGCGTTCAGTTCAGCAAAGAGCCCAACAACTTATACAATCTCAACTCCTACAAGCATTCTGGTAAGGCGTCCTAAATCATCTTATTATTAGGGTTTTTTGTCTAAATGTGGAGCGGGATCGTAAATATGTTCTGTCGTTATTATTTGGAGGTTTTTGAATGATTGATTTGTATTGGGGAAAAGGATTAAGCAGAGGAAATTGAAATAATTAGAATGTTGCTTGCTTTGATTCTCTCAAGCTCGTTTGAAGATGGCCTAAAAGATGCTGGGTTTATTGTTTGGATGATCTGATCAGTTAGAGGTTTTCTGGATATATAATGCATTCTGGATTTGGGGGGAGGGGCCAGCAAACTGATGTACATAGATTCATGTGAATTATTTCAACTACCATCCCCGTTTCTTCAGCTTGATTACTTGTTTTTGGCTGTGGATTTATTAATTATATACATGAACGTCCGTAGGTGCACTATGAATGATCAGTTACGTTGTTGGTTTTAGTTTTACTAAATGTATTCAAGTCGTTATTTCGTGCTTGGGATTACATGCTTGGCCTTTGATTAATTAGTTTCCTTTGACCAATTCTATATCCGTGTGTGCGGGAAAAAAGTATTAGAATTCAAGACTGCTTGGCTTTCCTTGGTTTGAGTAATTTTGGTTTACTTTTCTTACATATTACAATTCTAGAAACATTTAAATTTATTTTTGGAACTTTATTGGTAGTGGTAAGTGAAGTATCAGAGGGTTTTTTTATGTGAGATCGAAGAGAAAACATTGAATTAGGTTTATCTCTAGAAGTTCAATGAGATTCTTGTGTTTTAGGCCTGGCCAACAAGAAAACTGTTACAATTCAACCTGGAGGTAAAGATCAATCCATTTTGCTTGCAACAACGAAGAGCAAGAAACAGAACAAACCTGCTTCATTGCTTCATAAATCTTTGATGAAGAAGGAATTCCGTAGGATGGCAAAGGCTGTAACAAACCAGGTATTTTAAGGTTCAGGCATTTAGTATCTCATTTTTAGCTTCCCCTGGTCAACTACACTTGTGACACATACTCCCGTTTAGCAAAGTATTACCCCTTAATTCTTTCGAGTATTTTATACTGTTGAAATATCGACGTTAACCCCCCTCCGGGATGCAGGTGGCCGATAACTACTACAGGCCAGACCTGAAGAAGGCTGCCCTAGCAAGATTGAGCGCTGTGAACAGAAGCCTTAAGGTTGCTAAGTCTGGGGTCAAGAAGAGGAACAGGCAAGCGTTGAGGAAGTGAGAATGTTATGAGAATGTTGCTTTTTCCATTTGTGTTTTTTGTTGGAATGCCAACCTTTTAGTGCAGTTTGGAATTTGAAGAGTAGTCTGGCAATGTCTTACTATGTTTTGCGTTATTATATGATTATTTTCGTGTTGTGATGAACCTTTGGCGGTAATCTTATGACTTAGTTTTTGTTACGTTTTCTAAATTGCATTTGAAAGTTCCTAAACATTTCACGACCCTTAACCACAAAATAAGTAATCTTATGACTTAGTCGAATTAAATGTGTTAAAACCATAAAAGTGTGCATTTTCTAATTTGATATTTTAAAAAATTTATTGTATTATTCACATTTAAGAAATGCAACAAGTGTTTTTAAGTTTTAAATAAGCATCTTGTATCTATCTACTACTTTGCTTTCAATCAGCTTGCGATATTTTAGTGTTCAATATCTTAAAATTTTTAAAATGTCACATAATCTACACATTTTTCAATTAGCAGTGTTCAACTATTTTGCAGTTTTGAAAAGTCTGGTCTAATTCACTTTAAATCTTCGAACAAGTGGCATTAGTTTTCAAACATCTATTCTATTGTTGCCTATTTTATATTTGAGTAAGAATATCAATTGTTTTTACTACAAAAGAATATCAACCAACATATATATGAAGTATAATCATGCTAGAAAATGTTGTGTACATTTTAAAAAAGTGTCAACAATATTATGCATATCATTTTCTGTCATCGGTTTCTTGAATCCTAATACATCTCTTTTTTTTTTCCATTTAAATTACTATTTTGAAATATTTTAATACATTTTATATGAAATAAAAACTCTTCAATAACTACGTTTCAAAAAAATTGATGGATAAAGTGTTATATTAAAATTTTAATGAAGATATATGAGATAAACATAGAAACGAAAAGACAAAAATAATCACCTCTTAAAAACGTAAAGACCAAAATAATCGTTTCAAAGATACAGTTTCTAGATTAAATAAAAGTGAAAAAATTAATAACCAAAATGAAAATTTTAGAAATAAGGATAAAAAAGAAAAACCGAAGTCTTGAAAACTAAAATAGTATTTGAACACTTTTTTCCTTTTACTTTGTGTTTAGGAGTATTTGCAAGATTTTTACTTTTCTTTCCTTTTAACAATCTTTGCGTTTTGTTCTCACTTCAAATAAGACGTGCTATGATCAAATAAGGGAAAACTTTCATTTCGGCAATCATTTTATTTTTCATCATACCGAGCATCCATTGGCCGAGAGAAGAAGCTTCTTATTGCTCCACTTCCAAGAAAATTCCCTATGATTGCCAAACAATATTAGCATATTCACAGTTATTTGGAACATTTTTACATGTTCAAAATTTACAACCTACAAAATATAACATATCCAAACTCAGATGCCTCGCAAGTCTATACAGGAAGAGGTCAGGCTAAACTAAAACAAAAGTCCAACCTCTATATTGTAGCTAAACAGAAAGAAAATGCATTCCAAGAGAGGGAGAGCAAAAAAATGTACATGTTCCTAAATTAGGGGTTGGGGAGAAGATAGCAAGTAAAAAAATTGACTAATTTTTTATGCACAGCAATTCATTGATGCAGTTCTTGCATCTACCTCTACCTTTTAACGACCTCGATCGCTCATATAAGCGCACATCCAGGAGTCGTCTCAATCTTTTGTGTAAGTTTGTGCAAATTCTTTCATCCTTTGTTTTAGGTGCTGTATTGAGAAAATAAAAACAGATACAACTGAGAACTAGAAAAAGCAAGATACGTAATGAAGACCTGTAGGTCGAAAGCTAATCACCTTCAGCTCTTCGTGGAGAACAACGAATATTTTCTTCAACCTCTTGTGCCTCTGCAGATTACTCTTTATTTGAGTCAAATTCATTATATAAGAAACATTACATATTAGTTAGGGGGAGAAAATATTTATGTTCATTCAGATTAAGGCATACAAAAAATATGCATGCCCATGTCAAGTAAAAGACAGCAACCCACCCAATTCCTTCAAGCGTCATCTGCTTTCCTGCCTGAATCTACGGTCAACCTTAAACTAATTCCTAAAAATCCTAAACCTTTTACTTCTGATCACGAACTCCCTCTCTAACTCCGGAGTAGAAATCATTCAAAATGAATAAAAACCTTACACAAACTTAAAACTACAACGAGCACTAGCTAGATGAAACATGAGAGGGCCACAGAGAGAACGTACAAGCATATGTAGCCATGAGTTTTTGATCAAGGGTAATTAATAATGTCAGTTAAGCAACAAGCCTAAGATGGAGAAATATATTCTTGAACGTGAAAAACTATGTATACTATAGAGTGCAAACTCATAGCAAAGGTACTAACTAGGATAATAGAGATCATACCGTTGAACACTGCTGATAGGACTCTTTCAGCTGTCCCAAGAGATTGAAGTATTTCTCCGAATCTCGTCCTCTTGCTGATTCGAGTTCCTTTCCGAGTTTAAAGAACTCATCCCTAAATGATTAAAATGCTTAATAAATTAATGATTTTTCTTTTCAGGAATAGCATACCAGGACACAAAATAAATCACCAAACTTTTTAAACATAATAATCAGACATTAATGAAATGAAGTCTGCATTACCTGTAGCTTTCAAGGATCTTGTTCAAGGACAGGTAACTATCATATTTATCACGATACTCCTGCACATATTCCTGATACCTAATAATCATTAAGTATATCTTTTGATCAGTTATCACAGCCATTAACGACAGAGTAAAAGAACAAGTGAGCCAAAATTAGTAGCATTAACAACTCAAATGAGTTATACATGAAACTTACTGAGTGGCATCCTTGATTGCTCCCTTCAACTCTGGCTCGTCCTTTTCATACTTGGAATATGAACAACTGTTTTCATCTGAAGAAGAATCTCTCCTCTTTGGATCACTATTTTCACGCTCAGCTGAAATTGGATTCTTTAGCGCATCAGTAACTTCAGTTATTGGATTAGGTGCATGTCTTTTGCTTCCCTTTTTTGAGGGAATTTGTTCTCTTTTCATACCATGCAGTTGAGAAATGCCAGCAGATGCTTTCTTGTTGCTTTCTCCACAGCCTTCTAGACCAATCCCTTGATAAGATTTTGCATTTGCCTCAACTGCTGACTTGTCAACTTCAACATTATCTACTCTTGAAATATGTTGTGGATGGGACTGCAGAGACCGGTGGTTAAGCCTGGTCAAATCTTCAACTTTATGTTCTGAGTTCTTTTTTTTATTTGAGCCTTCAAGATTGCTGGGAAACTTGTTACTTACATGGGGTGAGGACCGCTTTTCAGATTCCAAACTAGCCTTCAAGGTAGATTTTCCTTTATTTAAATCTGAACTCCAGCCATCTGAAGTGTTTTCTTTGTTCTCCAACTGTTTCAATGAATTATTTCTTTCGAATTTCTTTTTACCCAGTGCCTCCTCAGGAAAGGGCTCACGAAGTTCACCTAATTCCAGGTCTGAAAGCTCTCTTTGGAGAACACGGCCTTTTCCACTAAAAGGGGACTTGTCAGCACCAATTCTAATATTATCTGAATACACCATCTGCGAACTTGAAAATGCTTTGCCATCTTTGAATTTTCCAACTATTTCACCATGTTTGTTGTGATGGGAGTCAAAGGGTTGCATCTGTTTGTCCCCTGAAGCAACTGATCTAGAATTTCTTGAAACCTTTTTCTCATTTGTCCCTTCATTTTCAGTATTTCCATAAAATTTATCTTTAAAAACGGGAAGACTTTCATTAGCATGACCACCCTTTTCAGAGTGTTTAGTGCCACGTCCAATGCTATCAGCATGCTGGTCAGGTCTGATTGCTGTATCTACAGCCCTTCCCCATCCGCTTTGATCATGGGGCCTCCGACCTGCTTGTGGAACATCTGAACTATTTTTTTCTAGAACTATTTCTTTGTATCCCATTTTTGGTCCAAAATCAGAATTCCCTTTCAACTCACCTTTATTAGTAACTTGACCGGTAGGATTCCTAGCAGAATCTCTATTGAGTTTACTAGGAGATAAATTGTGAGAACTCTGTAATTGGACTCCCCAACTACCAGAAACTGGTTGTTGAGCTGAACTTTCTGATTTTAACCTCTTTGTGTGATCAGGCCTCTCTTCAAAGCACTCAAAATCAGAGCCCCTTTTAGACTTGCCTTTAGATATCCTATCTGTGCTGTCAGATTGCTCATGCCTGACACTGTCCACAAAAGTGTTTCCCCTGTCCTCAAACAAACTCCCAATAAAATTTTCGCGCTCTTGAAGTTGATCGGGGTATGGTGAAAAGGATCTTGATTCTTCCACACGTCTTTCACCTTCTCTAATAGGAAGTGAACTGTGATCATCAATTTTAGCTTCTGGTTCATCATCAGAAGAATTTTGCTCGATGTCAATTGCATCAGATTCATGACCATCTTCCTTCTCATTGTCTATATTCTGTACAGCCCCACCATCTGGACTTCTCCAAGCAGCAGGAGATGCAGAGACACCCGTTACAGAAGCTTGGAGTTTATGCTTGGATTCTTTGTCATCATCACTGGTCATGATATCCACATCCTCATCAGAACCCTCCCTATTTGAAGGTGCGTCACTTTCACTATCACTGCTACTCCCACTTCCACTACCCGTGGGGCTACGACTTCTACTCCTACTATGATTCCCACTATCACTTCCACTATCACTGCTATCACTTTCAGAGTCACTGTCACTTTCATTGTCGGAAGAACTAGCTGCCTGGCCTTCACTATTTTCAGAGCTTTTCTTGTCACCAAAAAGATTGGGGGAAAGCTGTTGGATGCCATTTTTCTCCAATAAATTTGATTCTTTGTTAGCTTGCGAGTTTTCTATCTTTTCCTCCAATTCATTGACACATATTGCTTCTAACTGTGATTCGGGAGCAGGTATTTGATCACGGAGGTCTTCATGTATGGGGGTTTGTTGATGGCTGACGAAAGGAGAGCTGTAAAAGTACAAGATGTGAATTAGAACTTCTGCTTACCAATCAATTAAAGCTTTCCGCTTGAAAGCCTTCCTCGTAAAGCCTAGTTTAAAATCTTCTGCAAGCATTGATAATCAATAAAACAAAACTATCACCAGTCAGACAGCTGAGGTTGGTCCAACTAACAGCATCCAAAATTTGAATTGTTCAAGGAGAAACAACCGAAAATCAAGATTATGCGAACAACTGTTTAACTCAGCCAGATGAACTCAGCCCCGTAAAAAGTCAAAGGCAGTACCTTTCACCTTCAGATGAAGGTTTCTTAGAGCCTTCTGACTCGACTGCCGATTTCAAATAATATCTTCCTGGAGCTTGGTAGGTTGCAATCTAATAGTCAAGATTAAACAATAATATCAGAACTACTACAGTATGTATCAAGAGACATCATCAGAACTACTACAAAACTAGAAGATTTCAGGAACACAGGCAATTTATTATTGAGTTTGAAAAAGGTTAAGTTCAATTCAAGCCTTGTTGTTGGATCCTTTTAGCTTAAGTAAGTTTCAAGATAACACGGGGAGAATTAAGAGATCATTGAAATGATTGAATATATACTAAGCCAATAGATCATGCCTTAGATTTCTAATATTTTAACATTTACATCACTTACTTTCTTAATAATTGGCTCGATCTTTTTTACGGCATTTGGAATTTTATCGCCAACAGCTTTCTCCAAGGCCTACAAGAGAGAGGGAGGGAGAGGGAGAGACATTAGCACTAAGAGAGAAGTGGAAACTGTAAAAGCCATATGTTTCCAATAGAATTGACAAACTTGGTTAAGGGAATAAACATACAACAGGAAAAATCCAATACTTTTTTATATAGAAATCGGTACTCCAATTAAGTTGAAACGAAATAGAACATCCCAACTATAGTAGTCTACCATCTAATTTTAGTATCCAATGTTTACAGCTAGTACTACTGGGGTATCTAATCCTATCTAATCCTATTCGCTCCCCTAGCTTTCGTCTCTCAGTGATGGTGTCAGCCCAGCATAGTGTTTTCGCCTTACCTTCAAACTCATCCCCTTGGGGTTTGCCATGAGTAAAGTATACAGCATTCCTTGCAAGTCTGTTGGTTTAGCTCCAGCATTCCCTTCCTGTAATGGTGTTTCGAGTACTCCTTTGGTGACTTTGGTCGGGATTTCTTTCTCACCGCTAGCAGCAGCATTATTCTTAGCTGGTTGTCGAGGTCTAATATCTTCTGCAATAACACGAGTCTTGGTGGTATTTACAGATCCAAATTGAGAAACTGGAGCACCAGATTGGTCAGGTGGAGATCGAACAGGTGAAGATGATATCCTATCCTTAGAAGCAGGTACAGATGACATCCCAGGTTTATAGGCAGATTTTGGAGGCCCAACTGCAATGACATCTTATAATAGTTAATAGTTACTCAATTACCAGGGTTAATTAGCATGAGTGTTCATTAGGAGAAACAGTATATGTCAAAGAGGAAGAAAGCACTCAAGAAGGGAGAAACAGTATGGTTTTGTGTCAAAAGAGTAAGTATAAAGCATATAGAAAAACAAAAAGGAAACGGAAGAAAGAATTCAATGTACACAGACAGTTACCTTGAGATAGTTCGCTTTTCTGCTTTTTAAATGGAGGCTCTTTCTTATTCTTTCCAAAATGCATCCTCCGTGGATTAACTGCAACATGTAAGGTATTAGTGAAAACTTCACCTCAACATGGGTAGTTTCAGTTTTTGCAGTAAAGCGATCAAATAACAATAACAAAAAGCTAATCAGATTGGCAAATAAATAGAATGATAGATCTCATAAAGGCAGGTAGGTAAGACAACGTTCACCAGATCTAAGAATGAAGTTTACTCCTGTCCATGCCAGGAGTAAAATAATATACTTTATCCAGCCAAAAAGTCATTTAAAATGCATACCTTCAGCAGCAACCAATGCCTTTATATTACTCTTCATAGTTGGATTCTCAGGTTCTAAGAACATAGCTCTGCCGCCAGAAACCAAAAGTTATGTGCATGCATGCATAAGAGCTTCAGATAGTACTAGAAATTATCGCAGATAGCTCTATAACAACAGACAAACCTTTTTATATAGAAGTCACAAAAGTAAAAAGTACAAAAAATGGTCAATGCTACATTGCAACCATCAGAAACCATTTTTCTCTGTATTTTGATTTGGGAGGGAGGACAGATATTATAAAAGTGTAATATTACATTTAAATTTACAAACAAAATTAATCATGGCTTGGAAGAATGCTGAAAACCTGGAAAACCCAAATATAAAAAGCAAGCAAATACAATTTTCATTGAAGAGTATTCCAATGCTACCAAACAAAGAAATATATTAAAGTTTCATGTCAAAATTTAATTAAATAGAAAAATAGCTTGAAAGCCGTCTGTAAACATGGTATGTTAGAAACAAATGCATTAAGCAATTATTTTCTGAACAAAGAAAAACAATAAATCATATGTATGCTTATAAATTAATTTACATTAAAATGTCAGTACCCATGTAATGCATTCCGGGTGTCAAGTACTCCAATGATTTTATTTGTTTGTCTTGAGGAGGATTAACATAGCGAATGTTAAACAGAAAAATCAGAGAATTGCACTCCCCATGACCTCAGGATGCTTTGGAGGTTTCTAGAGAATTGCACTCCCTTTGACACAAGGTCACGGTAGGGATGTTTTTACTTTTTATATAGTGCTAGTATTCCTAACATATCCCTAGAAATATTCCTAACACAATTTTTTGCATGAAAAAATTATAGCTGAAGTAATAGTGCAAAAACTATCGTGTGGAGAACTAAGGTAAACACATAAATTAGATTTATAAAAATGCCTGAAAGTTATAGATAATCTCTAAATTGAAAAAGGCAGAATGCAGTAAGGTTACATGTGCTACTAGTCAAACGTTAGAGAAGCAACATACATCCTCATTACATGATCACATACCTACGAGACTTGGACTTACGATCAGCTTCTTCAGACATCTTCTTAACATGAAGTGTAGCCGATTCATCCAATATACGCTGCACATTCAATTTTCTCCAAACATGGCCTGATTCAACAAGCAAACCACCCCCATCCTCACCGCTTTTACGTTCTTCATATATGCCACAAGGACCACCAACTTCACGTGACCATGTGAATCTAAACTCTTTCCCACCAACATCAATGACCTGATGTCAAATTTGAGTTCAAGCACAAATTATCTTTCTTGATTTTAGCAATTGACTGACAAGAGACAATGATATGGTGAATATACGTCAGGTTCGTGAATATATTATGACTTCAGTAAAAATTATCCAGGGGTGGGGTGGGAGAACAAGAAAGAAAATCCAGTACTGTTCCTAGTATTTCAGCCTTTACATGGATTATTATCACCTTCGCAGCTGTTCACTAGAAGAGTAAAATTATCAGTTATAAAATTTCCAAAAGAGCCCATTTCACTAGACTTTGAGACCCTTGATTCTTATTAGCAGTAGAACGCAGAGGCACATGATAGGCTTGAGGAGAAAACAATTTAAATTGAATATGCACAATTGGAGCTTGATCAAGGCTAAGAGGGAAACATAGAACTACTTTTACATGTTTTTTTATAAGAAACTGAACTTTTCATTGAGACAAATGAAAACAAAAACAAAAGCCCAGAAAAAGAAGTCATGCCAAAAGAAAGGGCCTCCAATCCAAAAGAATAGAACCTAACTGGTAATTACAAAACAAATTTGAAACAGAACTCCATAAGGAGACATTAAGCCTAATGAGATACCAAATAGACTCCCAATCTCTCTCCACCCCCTAAGATTCTGTTGTTTCTTTCCAACCAAAACCCCCACAAAATCGCAAAGGAACCAGCCTGTCACAAAAACCTCCCTTTCTCCCTGAAAGAAGAATACAAAAGCACTTCATCCACCATAGTCCCTCAATCTCTATGATGAACCCAAGAAACATCGAAGGTCTCAAAGAACCAGCCCCAAACCCATACTTTTTACATGTTCATGCATCATGAGAAATAGAATTAGAGCTAACCCTTTCAACATCAATCTCTCTGTCACTCTACTTCCTCTAAATTTGTTCTCCACCTCCATCATAAATTGCATACTCTCTATGAGCATGCTGTGCACATTGTAAGACTAAAACCAAGGCCCCATCAATAGCAACACTTGCTCAATTCATTAAATAATCGTGTCTACTAAAACAAGAAAATAGCTGCTCTAACTTTAGGTTACGAATGCAGGTAGAATCAATGTATAACTCCGACTTGAAAAAGTTTTAATGGTCATGCGCTAATTCTGGGGCAGAATTCAAACTCTGATATACCCTTCTAAAAAACCATAAAAGCACAAATGATATAACCTGATCAACTTGTCAAAAAGTACTTATCTTACACGGCTTTCCATGTTGGTAATCTAATCCGTACAGCATTCATATTCACCAATTCATCTGAAAGGTTCATCTCTACATTTACTAATTTCGAATATGCTTACATACAACTGTTAGACTCAGCCAGTAATTAACTGTTACCCAATTAGAAAGGTAGACACAATAATGTCACAAATGTCAAAAGAATAAAGAAATAGGCATTAATGCACGAATTGGCGACAAGTTCCAATTAAATAGAACCATGAGGACCAAGATACATATGTAATGAAGTAGCAGTTGCACAAAGAGATCCCACAAAGCAAGCAAAATTCACAAACTTAGTGTCAAAGTAACACCCACATCGAAATCCAGCAAATAGTGAACAAAAGCATAATCCGTGATTCCGTACAAGTACTTGTGCATATATTCGACAGTGCAGTTGAAGTATCTAACACGAGTTCAAATAATCTAAACAATACCACCATACTCGCAAATTACACAAGAGGGTATAATAATCTTCATTTTCGCATTGATGTGAATGACTAAAGCAAAGAGCATTTATTAGAGACAACTTACATTACCACTAGAATTCTTGGCATTCGCATCGAACTTCATCCTCGGAGTCCCGCCCTGCGCCTCGACCCGCTTGATCTCATCGATCAAGTCCGGAGCTAACCGAATTATCATGGCAAAAGCCAACGGGTTGTTACCAGTAACAAGACTGAAATTTTCTTCCACGGATTCGGATGTGGTTGCGGTAGCGGTTCGATTCTGAGAATTGGCGACGGAACCGCCGCCGCCGCCGCCGAGAGAAAGACGGCCGGAGGGGCGGTTTGTAGGTGCAAGAGGAAAAGAGGAGTGTGGCCGCTTTCCGCCGGCTCCCCGGCCCGCGCCGCCGCCAGCTCGGCCGAGCTTGGATGAGCCGCCATACATTGTGATGGAAAAGAGAGAGGAAGACGACGGAAGGTGGTCGCACCAGGTTTTGGGACCCAGACCAGATGAAACAACACACCAAAAATTAACAAGTCCCTGTTTTTCTTTTCTGGCCCTCTCTTTAATTTTTACATATTATGAGCCCATTTTTGCAATTACAGTATTTTCTAGTGCCCTTTTCCGGATCCAAGTTTTATGGGCCTGTCCGTAAAGCCCAACTCGGCCCATTGACCCCGACCAGACCAATAATAATAGATAATTCTTTCTTTTTTTTTATTAGTAGCTAAAATCGAAAAATCTCTTCTTCATTTTTTTTTAGAATGGCTAATCGAATCGTTATATATATAGTTTATTTTAATTTGGTGTTATTTAAATTTGAGAAAAAAATAGTTTATTTGAATTATAAGTGAAGAATTTCACTAGATTTGGCAAGTGGATTTTAAATTTTATTTATTGAATTATTCAAAATGAAAAATGACGTCAAATTATAAATCGAACTGTAAAAAATAATTGTATATGGATATTTGAGAATTTAAAATTAGTCCAATTCTCTGCTGTTATTAAAGTAATATTTGACTCTCTTTTATTTTCTGGTTCCTTTCTGCCTGATATTATATAATGGAGACCATTTTAAATCGAAGAAAATTGACGTATATTTAAACATCTATGATTTAAAACAAGTTAAAATACAATAGCAAAAAAATAAAAAAATTGGCATAGTTTAATTGGCCAAAATATTATTTAATCCCCACTTTTTGTTGAACTAAAAAGAAAAAAGTATAGTCTCTTTCACCATTTTTTCTCTCTCTTTTCAAATTCCCATTGAATGTAACTTGCCTATTTTATTATATTCATTAGGTAACATTCATTTTTAGTCCATGTTTTAATCTCTATACAATATAGTTTTTATATTTTAAAAGTTATATTATTGTCCCTACCTATGACATTCTTTAGAAAAAAAATTATCAATGTTTTAACCGGTTGAATTATATTTAAGTTAATTTTATTTCATTCACATATATCAACATGAGTATAGCTCAATAGTTTTTCTCTAAAAGTTGAAGGTTCAATCTCCTATCCTCACATTATATTAAAAAAGATCAAATTCATATATATGCATACAAGCAATGAGAAGTAGCTTAAATCTAGCTCAAGTAAATTTTTTCTTAAATAGGGGTTGACATGTCACATTAGACGAGAAATATGAGTTTTATTTGATTGTTAAAGACATTGGTTTTTATGGAAAAACATATCAGGAGACTAGGCTAATCTTCGGAGAAACTCATACTACCCATTAATTTTCGATTACTTTTTCTATTGACAGAAATAAGAAGGAAGAGTTATTTCAATATGCATTGTTTGGGCGGTCCACCAATAGATACAAACCCCTAACAATTATAAGAAAATAGTGAGTGGAAAAAATAAAATAAAATAAAGATTTTGTTTCCATTGATTGTCACGAAGTCTTCCCACGCAAATGAAATTCATATTAGCATTTTGCTTTTACTCCTAACAAATAGTTTTAGGGTTAGGATCGGATGTTAATTCACATGTAGGAAATTAAAGAACAATGAAAGTATGGATTGGAGCAATTTATAGAGATGAACAGTGAGGATCAAACGGTTATAACTAAAAATTACAAATGGTTGTATTCTCCTCTTATTGTACTACTGAATCATTGACTGTCCTCACGAGTTTGTGACTTGCAATCATACTAGATTTGCAATAGCTCGTGGGTTGAATCACACTCATTAAATTATAAGACTTATTTACATGAAGACTGTAATGGTTGGTGAAGCCTAATACCTAAAAGTTGAAGACATTCAAATGTCAACGAATAATTTCAGCAACATATGACATCGGAATAAGTTTCAACTAACCTGCACATGAGCTTGCAAAAGTAGCTTCAAACAACATTGTTTCCCTCTCGTAGGTATACTATTTTCTTCCTTGATTATTATATGTGGTCGAGAGAGATTTTAGTTRCATGAAATTTAGGCGGGATGGACAACTTAATAAATGAAAATGTTGATTTAATCCTTCCTATGTATACTATGAATGCAAATTAATCAATAGTCAATTTATTGACTATATATTGACAAAATAAAATTACAATATATTGAGAACTTGGATGGATGGTACTATGTTTGAATGCATTAAAAATTTAGAAACATGACAAATTTGATGGTTGGTACAAAATAATATTTATAAAATTGCCCAAATAAAATTAAAAATGAGAATGTGGACCTATCCATTTAAAGGGTAAAGATTTGTTGCCAACCAAACAAGTCGTTATTGACGTCAACGGGCGAAGTATTGGCTTGTTTGACTTGGCCTTTACTTGCAGTACTCTAATTCCTCACTGACCATTCCGGATCTGCCATGAAGGACACGCAATATTTAACAACCAAATGAAAATTGAAAATTATTCTCTAAAGATTTTTGAGGGATTTTTACTATTAAATATTACTATTTTCAAAACTAATTTTAAAAATATTCTCACCCCAAAATTAATTTTAAATTTATGCAGTACATGTAGGAGTGGAGGATTGGTTGAAGATTATATCAATTACTGTTGAACTATACTCATTTTGATAATAGATTTTCGTTTTAAGATATTATATACTATGTAAAAATAAATAAATCTAAAAAAATAATTAAATAAAATAAGAATTACAACGTGGATACACCACGTAGGGAGGTCGCACAAATTTCATAAGTATTGTTTTTCAAATAAATTTGAACGATTTAATATTTTGAAAATAGTAATATTAAAAAATCCGACTTTTAAGGCTGTTTGGGGATTAGTTTGGAATTTGGACTTTTACTTTATTCGGTTGAATTTGACTTTAAACTTTAAATTTCATTTGAATTAAATCTTGAAATCTAATAGTGAGAAAAATAATATGATTCTAAGCATCAATTTTGATCATTGTAGTCTCAAATTTCATTTCTTTATTTCACCGTATTTTGTTAAAGATCTCACATCGAAAAGAGAAATGATCTAACAATGGTTTATAATAGATATGAGCTACTACTTTTATTGCCAATCAATTTTGAGATGAAACTCTATGAATATACGATGTTGAGGGACATGTTAAAAATCCCACATTGAAAAGATATCCAAAATGAGCATAACTCAGTAATTGACATTACGTTCATGATATTTTATTGATATCTTTAATAACTTTTTTATTTTTGTGTGATACTATAGAAACGTCAATTTACATATTTGAACTCACAGAAATATAGAAATATAGATGAAAATGTATACATTTCCACAATAATATTCTACTTGACTCGAGTAATACTGTTAATGTATTAAACTAACTTTGAGCCGATGAACATAAATCAACTTGTTAAGATAATATTTCTAACAATCGGAGGCAATATATATATATATATATTTCTAACAATTGAATAATTAAAAAAAAACATTCAAACCAACTTTCTAAAAGGTCAAAAAAATAAAAATAACCACCAACATTTGGCGGCAATATTTCTCCCGGTTGGACTGAATCCCGTTCCCTGTATCATAAAAATAATTTGTTCGACCTCCGTTCCGCGTCAACCTTGACAATGGCCGCTCAGGTTCAGCCATGGATGAAGTCTCCTCTTTCTCTCTCTTTCCCTTTCTCCATCCATTTTTCCTCCATTACAAACACAACCCTCTTCTCATTTCCATTACATTTCCCGCCCTACGCGTCCTCTTCGACATATGTTTTACCCTACCCATCAAATTCTTCAGCCCGCCATTAGAGCCCTTGAAGGTTTTCTCAGACATTCATGTCCAGCTCCGCAATGGAAACGCCTACTGTTTTCTCAATCTTCGTCTTCTTCCTCTCCCTGTGTATTGGGCTTCGAGCTCCCCCGGCCATGGCGGAAGACGCAGCCATCGCCACAGTCAAGGTGGGGGTCGTTCTTGACTCCGATTCGTCGATTGGGAAGATGGGGTTGAGTCTCATGGAAATGGCGCTCTCTGATTTCTATGGATTTCATCGAAACTACAGGACCCGGCTGGCTCTGTTCCCGAAGAACTCCATGGGAGACGTTGTTGGAGCTGCTGCTGCAGGTTTGGGAGCTTAGCTTCTGTGAGGAATTTTTTGTTCTTCTCCGGAGTTTAATCTGTTTTCTTATTTGTTTCTTCTAACCGTACAGCTTTAGACTTAATCAAGAAGGAAGAAGTGGAAGCCATTGTTGGCCCACAGAGCTCAACCCAAGCAACTTTCATGGCGGATCTCGGGAAAAAGTCTCAGGTACCCATAATTTCAATCTCTGCAACAACCCCACCTCTGAATCCTCGTCGGAATCCCTACTTCTTCCGAGCAACCCAAATCGATTCGTCGCAAGTACAACCCATCGCCGCCATAATCAAGGCTTTCAATTGGAGACAGGCGGTGATAATTCACTCAGACGATCAGTACGGCGAGGGGCTTTTGCCCTCCATGAGAGACGCTCTGCGAGAGATTAACACCCGCATCTACGAGACAGCGATTCCTCAATCTGCCTCTGATGACAGGATCGCCAAAGAGCTTTACAAACTGATGACGATGCAGACTAGGGTTTTCGTTGTTCATATGTTGCCGGAGCTTGGGACTCGCGTTTTCAGCATGGCTAAGGAAATTGGGATGATGGGGGCGGGTTATGTTTGGATTATAACTGATGGGATGAGTAATTCTCCCTCTCATATTGATGATTCCGCCGTGGAAGCCATGAGCGGAGCTCTGGGTGTACGGACTCACATTCCCAGAACTCGAGAACTTGAAGATTTTCAGCTAAAATGGGGAAGGAGATTTGAACAGGAAATTTCTGAACTGAATATATTTGGGTTGCGAGCTTATGATGCTACTTTTGCTCTAGCGAAGGCTGTGGAGAAGGTTGGAACCACAGAGTTCATCTTCAAGAAGTCAAGTGTTTCTGGCAAATCTACAGATCTTGACAATCTTGGGGTCTCAAAAAATGGTCCGAGGCTTTCTGAGGCATTGTCTAAAACACATTTCAAAGGGCTTGCAGGAGATTTCAGAATGGTTGAAGGGCAACTGCAATCATCTACTTACGAGATTATAAACTTCAATTCCAAATTTATTACAGTGGTTGGGTTTTGGACACCGGAAAATGGATTGACGCAAACCTTAAATTCCACGAACATAAGCTCAAACACTTCTGTTGCCAATCTGAGCCATATCATATGGCCAGGGGATGGTCCCAATTCTTTCAGTTTCCCTAAAGGTTGGGAGACTCCAACAAATGAAAAGAAGCTGAGAATAGGAGTTCCAGTCAAATCTGGGGTCAGTAAGTTTGTTAGAGAGATAACAGACCCAGTGACCAATAGGACGAAGACGACTGGGTACAGCATCGATATCTTTGAAGCTGTAATCAAAGCATTACCGTACGCTGTTTCTTATGAATACATTCGGTTTGCAGATAAAAAGGGAGCAATGGCTGGTAGCTATGGGGACATGGTTATGCAAGTCCGCCTTGGGGTTTGTATACTCTTTCTTCAACATTTAGTACCCAAAATCAAATTCTCTTGTATGATCTTTGATACAGAACTTATAATCTGAGAGTGTTATCTTGATTGCAATTGTCTAAAATGATCTTATCTCTGTCGCTTTGCTTCTCTTGAACTTGTCTTAGGCCCTAATTCTTGCTCTGCCGAGAGGTACCCCTATGTTTCTAGGATGTTGCATTAGCTTAACTCTCATCATTTCTCTCAAATCTTTATTTAAGATGAATAAAGCTTTAGAAACTGGCTCAATTGTTCCAGTTTTCAAGGTTGGAGAGAATCTCTTGAGAACACATTGAGAAAGATTATTCCTTAACGGCTAAACCCAACATCATAAACTTGAGATTAACGGGGATTTAACATTAAAGTAGAGTCAGAAATCTTGAGTTCAAATTATGAGAGAGAAGATTAAGAATGCATGCAATTGATTTAGAAAATGAATTTTCAAAACTTTTCTGAGTTGAAATTTGAAAAAGAAGCTGAAAGTGTGATGTTTTGATGGGAACTAGTTTATATGCTTTCCATTTCACGAAAAACTTCTCGTGCTTAACGGTTACCACCATTTCTTGAATAGGTATATGATGCAGTCGTGGGAGACGTATCCATTAGAGAAAGCAGATCTGAAAATGTGGACTTCACATTGCCATACTCCGAGTCTAGCGTGTCGATGGTTGTACTATTTAAAGATAACAACAAAAAGGCTTGGCTTTTCTTGAAGCCTTTAACATTGAACCTTTGGGTGACAACTGCTTTCTCTTTTGCCTTCATTGGACTGGTCATCTGGGTTCTTGAGCACAGAATCAATGAAGATTTTAGAGGTCCTCCCTCACACGAAATCGGGACAAGCTTCTGGTTTGCTTTCTCAACCCTGGTTTATGCTCAAAGTAATCTCTCGTCTCCTTGTAGCTTTGTTATGTCATTTTGAGTATCTTTTTCTGGATGATTCACTAAATTCCTTCTCTACATAACAGAAGAGAAGGTGGAAAGCAACTTGGCTAGATTTGTGGTAATTGTATGGCTATTTGTGGTGCTCATATTGACTCAAAGTTACACGGCTAGTCTTACATCGCTGCTAACGGTTCAAAAACTGGAGCCAACTTTTACTGATATGAACCAGCTGAAGCAGCAGAAGGTGAATGTTGGATACCCAAATGGTTCTTTTGTTCAAGAATTGCTGATAGCTGAAGGTTTGGATCGATCCAAACTTGTAATTTATAACAATATGGCACATTGTGGGGCATTGCTCCTAAATGGGACCATAGCTGCTGCCTTTGATGAAATCCCTTATCTCAAGGTTCTTACAACAACATATTGCACCAATTGCACCATGGCCGGTCCCACGCTGAAATCCAACGGCTTTGGCTATGTAAGTGCGAAAATCTTCCTTTCTAAACCCAACAGCATATGAGCCGGGGATTAGAACTCTCGACCCTTTGGCCTGATTTCATTTTAAATCGTAGTCAGAGTCAAAAGTGTAAACCGATGGATTATGGTATATTTAATTTTTCATATACATTCTCAACGGTTAGTATTTATGAACCGTAGGTCTTCCCCAAAGGGTCTCCGCTCGGACGCGATGTTTCGAAGGGAATACTTGATATTATGGAGAGTGGAGTTCTGAAAGAGATTGAAGACAGATGGTTTAAAGGCAACATCAGTAGCCCTGACCCAAATAGCTTGATTTCCACCACACTTGGGCTTGAAAGCTTTTGGGGGTTGTTTCTTGTTTCAGGTGCTGCATCTTCATCTGCACTCATCGTAGCTCTGGCCGGTTTTCTTCATAAACAAAAGCATGTCTTGAAGCTTTCCACTGTCTCAATGTGGGAAAGGTTTCTTCTTCTTTTGAAATCTTTCGACCAGAAAGACCCGAATTCGCCTGCATTGAGAAAGAATCGTAATGACGAAAGCCCGGAGGTTAAAGATGTCAGATTCGAACCCCATCCCAGCCCATCCTGTGATTCAAGCTACATAAATGAAGGACTTTCACCTTGTAACTTTGATGATTTCCATGGTGAACAGAGTCCAACTCCTCTGCCATCACAAAGCAGGTAATTTATTAGCTTACTGTCAAGGTATTAGATGTTGATTTCAACGAAAATGTTCGAGATCTCAACAAGAGATTCATATAAACCATTGAAAATAACAAAAAAATCAAAATCAAATCAAGTTACAAATCTGTATTATTGGATGGTAAATAATCATATTGGTAATAATTTTGTCTACATTTCTCATATTTTCCATGCTATTTCTTCAACAATATTCCAGTGTCGATGTCTTGGTGTTAAATCCTCCCACTTATGAAAATATCAATAAAAGTATTGACAAAGTGATAAAGTGATAGAATGTTGAAGGAGATTTTGGATATTATATAGGACAAAGTAATAAAATTAGAAAGAATTCACCAATATAATGTAGAAAACTCCCTTGGATTAAAAAAAGTAATAATAAACATAGGCAAAGAAGTATAATTCAATATGATTAAAAAAAGGGTTGAAACCGTAGGTATATTTAGGTTTGAATATTGATTTTGTCTTTCTACTCTCAGCTGTGTTGATTTTGGTTCTTATATTTTCAGAACGATCATTTTAGTCTATATTTTCAACTTTTGTTTATCTTAGTATTTGTTTTTTTTCCTAATGTTGTGGCCTCTATACTCTTAAAAGTAATCATTTTAGTTCCTATCTCGTAAAATTTTAACACAAAATTTATACACAATAATACATATTTATGGCTACGTTTCAAGAAATTTAGCAATCGAAGTTTTATGATCGAAATAAATGAGGTAAAAATGAAAATGAAAAGACCAAAATAACTATGTCTAAGAGTACAATGATACAAAATTTAAAAAGCACAGGAACCAAAAGGAATGTTTTGAAAATATAGGGATTAAAATGAAATAAAACTAAAAAGTATATGAGATTAAAGTAGTATTTAAACCATATATTTATCGCTAGAAAAATCCAACCACAGATCTCAAATTTTCTCATGGACTCCATGTTCACGTTGAGAATTCAAATCACATAATGATATACAAAATAATTCTATAATTAAATTAGACGTGTATTTATCATTTATCAATTCGTCACTATCGATGAGTTTACAACGTATCATCGTGCCGATTGTCTAAAACTTTAGACATGTTTCAAATACGAGAGTTCGAAAAGACATAATCTTTTAAACCAGCGATTTAATCCACACAAAAATTAAAGAACATGTAACTCACTTTGGAGTGATAATTATAATCTAAACTTAAGAGTGTCCTACTATTCCATGGTCAAAAAAAGACATTAGTTGGGGCAAAGAGTTGAAAGTCAAAAGGAAAAAAAGTCCACGCCTATAATAGCAGCTGGCTAGGCCGTAGTTCAAGTTGTTGGCCTAAGGACAAAGTTTGCGATAAGGCTGAAATAGTAGACGCAAAGTCAAATTTTTATTTTTCTTCCTGTATTTTCAATTTTTGTTCATTTTAATCTCTATACTTTTGAAACATTTATTTTGATCTATTTAATTTAATTTTTATCTCATTTATTTCTATTACAATTTTAACATGATACCTCACTCACTAATTTTTTTGAAATGTAGTCATAATTTTTATTAAAACTTTGTATTGTATATAAAATTTGTGTTAAAAATTTTCAAATAGAGATTAAAATAGTTAATTTTTAAAAATACGTACTAAAACAGACGTTTTGAAAATATAAAGTTTAAAATAAATAAAAGTTAAGAGTACAATGGCTAGAATAGACATTTTTTAAAATATGAAAACTAAAACGAACAAAAACTGAAAGTATAGAAATCAAAATATTATTTAAAGTTAAAGAAAACTAGGTTCCCATAAAAATGGTTAAAAGTTTAAGCTATTTTTCGTGGATGTTTCACAAGATTTCATCCATGTGATAAAACAACCTTTTCCTTTTATGTTCTAGAACAAATTAGAAACGAAAATAAGAAAGAAGAAACTTACTTTTGTTGTTTCCAAAATTTTTATACAATTTTAAGAATATTTTAAAAAATGAGATAGAAAAAACATAATTAGTCGCAAAATACTTAGATTTCTTGAGAAATTTAGATTTGAAAAACAAGAAATGAAAATGTTGTCCAAGAGACCTATCGTTAGTAACAAAATGCTTAGATAATTTCTTAAGAGAATTAGAAACGAAAAACACATTAACAAACAGACCCTAAATTTTACCATCTAACTAATATTTCACTTATGATAGTTTCAAACTTTTATATTTAATCTATTTTAATGCAAGTAGAACCAAAGAATGGGTCAATTGTCTCCCCCCTCGATTCTTCAATTGGCTCCTAAACGTAGGATTCAAAAGTCTAGATGCATGTAACTCTATAATTTCGATTGAACTCTATCGAACACATGTCTATTAAAAAAAGAAATAACAACTTGAATAAAAATAGATCGAGGGTTACTAAACTAAAAATGAGATAGAGCGATATGTTTATTAGCATGAGACATTCAAAATAGACACTAAAAATAAATTAGTGTAGAACCATATCTATATTTCAAATATGGAAGAAAAATTCTAAAATTTTAAAATCATTTTCTTGTGGACCATGGGAGAGAGAGGGACTGTGGACCAGAAAGAGGAAGTCGATGATTCAACTCTTCCGGCCGAAGAATATCACATCAAAATTTAAACTCATTGATTGAATTCCATTCCAAGCCCATGCCCAAACTACCTTTTTTTCCCCCTAAAATTGTAAAGAAAAAGTACCATGAACTTGGTTTTAATTTTATTCCAAGATTTTCAGAACTTCCGATTCTAATATCGTATTATGGATGAATAAACCACCACTCAATTTAAAAGTTTCAACTAATGCACAGTAAATTTATATATGCATTCTCAACGATTCGTACCTATATTTTTGCTGGACACTACTAAAATATCCCTTTTTAGGCCCTTTTTTTCTACTTGTACAAAATTTAATTTAATGGTGATCAATACAATATGGATGTTAACGAGTAGTATCTAAGTATTTTTCTATTTTACTCACTCAAAAAATCACCTATATTCTTCTATTTTTTTTACTCAAACACTTAATGATGATCATCCAAATAAAAAATATTTCAAGTCAAGATGACCATCGATTTAAAATTTGATATCCTACAAATATCTCTAGCGATCAAATAAAGTAAAGTTAAAGTTAAATAGTTATCCAGTGAAATTAGTCTATTCACAAATTTACACAATCACTCGTGCATATCAAAAAAATAATATTTATTAAAAAAACATAGAAGCTCGTTGATGTATAAATATAAAACATCATACATTCATACATTCAATATAGTAATGACCTACGACCACGAAGATAATTTGTAAGATTCGACTAAATCATACGACATGAAATTCAAGCTGAAAAGGGCAAACAATCCTTATTTTCTGTCTTTTTTGTTAAAATAAATAAATAAGAACAAAAGACATTGCTTTGCTAGCTTTTACAACCCTTCTCCATCAAAAATGAATGCCAACATCACCTATCACCTTACTTGTTCCACTCTAATTGGTCGCCCATTGCCACCTCATTTGGGACTCCACTCTTGATCCATTCTTCTCATCAATAACATTATTTTGGGACCATTTTACATAAATTTAAACCTCTTCCTTCAATTTTCATTCTCTTGGAGGTCTCTTCTATTTTATTTCAAAGAATTTTTTATATCCATAAGTGTTCGGATATCTAATTGTGTATTGTGTTTCAATATTTATTGGATTCCATCTCAAAATTAATTCACGAGAAGTAGCTCACGTCTATTATAAACCATTGTAAGGTCATTTTTATTTTCAACGCGGGATCCTTAACAATGTGTACCAATTGTGTCTCGAATAACTTAGAAAATTTTCACATGTATTCAACCCTATTATCCTATTATCCTATTAGTAGCTACACAAAATATACTAAAAAACATAAAATTTGTGAAATAGACCGACTGCCCAAAAACATAATGATAAGACCAAAGAAGAAATTTTTGGAATAAAGAAAATACAAAACATATTTTGTCTAACCATTAAAAGACAATGGAAACAAGCAAAATGACCAAAGATTTCAACATTATCTTATCACATCAAATCCACAAACAGCTAAATCAAAATAAATCCCAACTTCTCCACAGCCGAAAAAGAACCCAAATAAAATGTAATAATGCTTTGGCTCTATCTGATAATGAGTCATTAAAAACATCAACAAATTCCAATTCATGGGCCTCTCTTTTTCTTCTCATTCATAGAAATTCAGAACACATCAAATTAAAAATGAAAAAGAAAAAAAAAAAACACACACACACACACAAAAGAACAAGAAGAAATTTTTTTACCTATAGAATGTCTAATGTTTGAGGTGGTCCCGTAATGTGTCTCTGCCACCTTCTTCTTCTTCTTCTTACTCTGAGCTGATGATTCTAATTCCATTTCTTCACGCACCCAGAAAAATTAACATAAAATTTTTCATAATCAGCACAATCAGGAGCTTAATTCCGGCAAAAATGGCGGATTTTTCTTCTGTGGCCGTCTCTGTTCTACTGATAACTTGGCCCTGGTGTGTAAATGGCAAGATCAGGCCACCCATTACTGCCGCCGTCGCCGCCGCCGCTCCAACAACTCGAATCGCCGTTTTGAAGGACACCCAAGTAATTCCCCGGCGCGGCGGTGCTCTGCGCCTCCGCCGCGGATTTCCGGCCAGACCCAGAATTCAAATTCTCTGCAAATTCCCCCAATTCCACCATTTTTAGCTCCGGCTGATTCGGATCCACGCCCTCCAAAAGATTCCCGAATTGCCCACTTGACGCCAACAGCGAACTGAAGCTCCCCGGAATATCCAACATTCGCCGGTCCGGATCCAACCCACCGCTGTAAACCCGGGTCGGGTTAGGATCCGAACCCGGGTTCGGCGTGGAGGTGGAAGAAGACGAGGACGAGGAAGACGACGGCCGTTTGGCGACGGCGGAGGCCCGCTTGGAATTCTTCCGACTGCCGCCGCCGACGGGGATGTTCCGGAGAGCGCCGCCCTTGGTCCAGTAGCGGCGGCAGTTCTTGCAGAAGTGGCGGGGCTGAGAAAGATTATAGTTATTGTAATAGCAAAATTTGGTGTTTGTGGAATCACAGCGAGGGCATTTCAGCTGCTCTTGTTCGGGAAATTGGGGTTTAATCGGCTGAAACGTTGATGGGTCTTGCATTGTTTGGATGCCCAGATTAGAAAAAGAGCCCAAAAACTGAAATTTTCCCGAGAAAAATTTTGCTAATTGGGTAATCTGAGAGATTTTGGTTCAGTTTCCAAGGAGAAGTTTCGGTGATCTGAGTTGGGGACTGAAAAAGGGTTCCAAGCTTTGAAAGACAAAAAGGGTTCTATTGTAAGGAAGCAGAGAAAAGGAAGCAGAGAGCTACAAAAAACCGACAAAAGAAAAAGAAAGCTTCAAGCCGTAGCTTTCATGGCTTCCAAAAAGCAAATCGACAGAGAACTCGAAAAGCATGCAACTTTACAGAGGAAGACGCGAAAATCTGAAGTGGGTTTTGTTGGGGAACGTTGTCGGAGAAAAGGGGAGTCGCCGGCGACGGGAAACTTTCCCGGCGAGTAGAAATTTGTTGTAATATCCGCGTGAAAGAGACGACCAGACGACATATATAAAGAAATGAATGAAGCGCTCTCTCTCTCTCTCTCTCTCTCTCTCTCTAGAGTGGAATTTTGGAATCTCTCTCTCCTCTGTTTCTCTCTCTAGGTGGGGTTTGGGGAAGAGGCTAAGCTTGTGGGTTCAAGACAGTCCAACTGACTGCCATAATTGTTTATTAAAAAGTAATCCAAATGGGGTTTTTTTTTAGGGTTTTGGGATTAGGACACTTTGGAATAACACTGAACACTCCTAATTTACTTTTTTCAAGGTTTTTAGAGAGAGAACACAAGAAAAAAAAGGCTTAATTCTTGATTTTTTTTTTGGGTTGATGATGGAGGATTTGAACATGCAACATTTTAATTGTACGTGTTGATATTGTTTTAGTTGTTAATTTGGTTTATTTTGATCTCTAACTTTGGTTCATTTTAATCTATCTTTAAAATATCTATTTTGATATGTGTATATTTAAAAAATGACTATTTTTGTTCTTATTTGTAAAATTTTAATATAAATGATACTATTTAATACAATTTATAACTGATCTCAAGAAATTTTGTGTTATTATATCTCTAGGAAAACTCCACCAAGAGGTTCTTTCTCTTACGTAATTTCGTTCATTCCATTTATGTGTCGGAGAAGAATGTCGAGCGACCTACCTCCGAGCCATAACTGCAATGCAATGGAGTGAATGTTATGTTAGAAGTCTCAGCTAAAGTCGAATCCGAAGACACATCGACAGACGCATATGCAAATGCTAAAAGGTGGGGGAGAAGTAAGCCGAACCTCTAGCCCTTTATCTCTTAAAGCTTTTATACGACCCTACTGTTGAGACGTGGAGGATCGCTCTAGAGCCCCGTATGTTGGTTGTGGTTGTAAACGGTCGCAAACGCTCATCTGTCTACCACCCTTCTTTTATTCCTTCAATATTCCGGTTATCTTTTTAGCGAAAAAATGTTACTTTTAAAAAATACAAACAAATGTTTCAAATTGCATAAATTAAAATGAAGAAAAATGAAAAGTATAAAAAAAATATATAGACTAAAATATATTGAGAAAAAAATATTAAAACCTTAATTCTTTTATTCCAAAATCTTGATCAGATCTTCCATTAATGGAAGACCTAACAAATATCAAACCGACCTAAGCCCACTTTTCACCTATTCCGCAATAAGGAAATCGATTATTCGATGGTTTTTTTTTTCTAATAAAAATATTCTAATTTGATTTTAATCTCCAATCTTTTTTTATGTTTATTATATTTTAAGGTTTATGCTTTCAAACCTTTTATTTTAGTGATTATAATTAATCTTTAATAAAATATCTGATAAAAGTTCGATACAGCCACATCTTTTATTTAGCATGTATTTAAAGCTGAGTGTTGGTTTTCAAAAAGAATTTAAATTTGGTTAAACGGTGAATAAAAAATTAATAGTAAATACCATGCAAAATTTGGTGGCTAAAACAATAATTTTTAGGGTTTTTTTTTCCTTCTGTCTTAATTAGAAGTAAAATTTAAGAGATGTCTCTTGAGTTATGTTTAGATCAACTAAAACCAAACATTTAAAAGTTGATCAAGTATTTTCTTTAATTACTTAATTAATACTTTAAAAGAATATTTACATTTAAAATATCCATCTCAATTTTACTTGATACCTCATTTCAATTAATGTTCCTATTTTTTAAAAAGAGTAAAAATTTTTTTTTCATTAGTTTGACATTTTACTCGTACTATCAACTGCAGTTAGTTAAGTTGCAATTTTTTTAAGTATTTTATTGTCCATCCAATTCCCGAACTTAGTTCAACTTTTTCAAACTTATGACGTTTTGGTCAATAATATATATCTTGATCCCGTTGAACTATACTAACAATATATTTTAAATATTTTTTTAAATAATTAAGACAATGGTCTATTTTTGACCGAACAAATATCTTCTTAGGTTGACCTCTTTATCCTTATTACCGGTTAATAAAATAAGAGAAAGCATAAATATGAGAGTAAAACAAGGTGAGATTATTAAAGATTTTTCTTGGCAGGTTGACTTATTTAGCTGCTTTTATTATTGTTTATTTATTTTTGCGAAAGACGAGGGGTCGCGGCGTGGGGGGAATTAATCGGCTCAAACGTGTGAGTCGAGCCGAGCCGAGCCGGGAACATTTGCGTGGAGAAAACGCAAGTGCCACCAGTGGAGGCATCATTGGGATATCACTGTCAGAATCAGTACCGTCCATTGAATTTGAATGGGGTGATCGGGACCGTTGAAGTGTCAAGCGATGCGAGATATGAGAATCGTGGCGTTAAGATACCGTCACCCGCGAATGAGAGCGATACCACGTGTCGGAACCCCACATAATGACGGAGCTCGATGGTATTATCCTTCCACTTCGACTGGTGGACTGACAGCTCAGCCATCCAACATGGACATTACTCTACCACGTGGCACCATTTTCTTTTTCTTCTAAATTTTAATAGAAAGTAGGTTTCAATATTATTTTAGTTTATATACTTCTCGTTTCAAAATTATAGTATACACAATAAAAATATTTTAATATAAAGTAATGACTACATTTAGAAAAATTTAACAAGTGACCTATCATGCTGGAACTTTAATAAAAATAAATGAGATAGAAATAAAAATGAATGAACTAAATGGAGGAACAAAAATTGAAAATATATAGAACAAAATAGATGATTTGAAAGTAAAAAATTAAAATGAATCAAATTAATATATACATATATATGAGAACTAAAATAGTATTTAAACAAAAAAATGTATAAAATTAGTAAAGTTAGATATTTAATTTAGATCCAATTAAAATTTTTGGTGAGAATTGAGTTATACCCGACTATCTTTTTTAGTACGACAAATGTGAGTATTATCTTATTAAGTTATTATTATGTCTAATAGAACATTGAATTAAAAAAACATCTAAAAGTTAGGTTTCTGAAATTGTCTAATAAGTTTTTTTTTCTTTTTTACTTTAAAAAGTGTAAGTCATTGATGCAACCTTTTAGTTATGTACATGTCTAATAAGTTTTTTTTAGTACATGTCTGTTTATGCAAGGATATGCACAACAATGTATTTCAGATTGCAGCTCGAACTCGGCCTCCGGACCGATTTGAATACTTGGGCGGACCTGCACAAAAAGGTGAGCACTCCGACGATCAAGTCAGTATAGGTCGGATTCCCAGTTTAGTTCGAGGCCAGAAAATCATCGTACCTGATCGTGGAGTGAGGTCCTCTACTTATGGGTGGTAGTCCCGCTAATCTCGCGACGGTTACACCCGATAATCTCGGGACCGTCGGTTACACCCGGTAATCTCGGGACCGACGGTTACACCCGATAAACACGCCGCTGACAGTAGCTCACCTCGGCCCCCACCGAGC